TGTGGCGCAGTGGGAGACCCGGGTTCGATTCCTGGCTTGGGAAGATACCCTGGAGAAGGAAATGGCTATCCACTCCAATATTCTTGCCTGGGAAACCGTATGGGCAGAAGGGTCTGGCAGGCTGCAGCCCATGTGGTTGCAAAGAGTCAAACATGACTGAACGACTGAACACACAACACACACTCAAGGCTGGGGTGGGCTGGGGGGAGGTGGTGGTGGATACAGTATCTGTGAATGTTCATCCACTTTGGTTCTTAGTGGTGTGCAGGAAATTTTCTAAAACGGATTGTGGTTATGCTTGTCTGACTCTCCAAACACACTCACAATGATTGCATTTTACACTTTAAATGGACAAATTTTGTGCTATACGAATTTGTATAAATAGACATATTTCAAAGAATATTTAAAAAGAAGAAGTAGAATATCTAAATAAAACTTAAAAGTCAGGATTTCGGGGACTTCCCTGGTGGTCCAATGGTTAGGAATCTGCCCGCAACAGTGGGGAACATGGGTTTGATCTCTGGTCTTGGAAGATTTCACGTGCCATGGAGCAACTGGGCCGATGTGCCACAACTACTGAAGCCCATGCACCCTAGAGCCTGTGCTCCGCAACAAGAGAGTGGTCTCCACTAGCTGCTACTAGAGAAAGTCTGTGTGTCGCAACAAAGACAAGCATGGCCAAAAATAAAAGAAATAAAAATTTTTTTAAAGTAAGAATTTTGAATTATTATGTAAAAATTATTTCCACAAAGAAAAGCCCAAGTTTCAGCAATCCCACTCCTGGGCATACACACCGAGGAAACAAGATCTGAAAGAGACACATGCACCCCAATGCTCATCGCTACACTGTTTATAATAGCCAGGACATGGAAGCAACCTAGATGCCCATCAGCAGACGAATGGATAAGGAAGCTGTGGTACATATACACCATGGAATATTACTCAGCCATTAAAAAGAATTCATTTGAATCAGTTCTAATGAGATGGATGAAACTGGAGCCCATCATACAGAGCGAAGTAAGCCAGAAAGATAAAGACCATTACAGTATACTAACACATATATATGGAATTTAGAAAGATGGTAACGATAACCCTATATGCAAAACAGAAAAAGAGACTCCGATGTATAGAACAGACTTGTGGACTCTGGGAGAAGGCGAGGGTGGGATGTTTCAAGAGAACAGCATCAAAACACGTATATTATCTAGGGTGAAACAGATCACCAGCCCAGGTTGGGTGCATGAGACAAGTGCTCGGGCCTGGTGCACTGGGAAGACCCAGAGGGATCGGGTGGAGAGGGAGGTGGGAGGGGGGACCGGGATGGGGAATACATGTAAATCCATGGCTAATTCATCTCAATGTATGACAAAAACCACTGCAATGATGTAAAGTAATTAGCCTCCAACTAATAAAAATAAATGAAAAAAATAAAAATAAATAAAAAAAAAATAAAATTACTTATGATTGTCACGTAAAAAATAAAATAAAATAAAACATACTATGAAAAAAAAATGAAAAAAAAAGAAAAGCCCAAGTTCATATGGCTTTAATTTTGAATTCTACCAAACAGTAAAATAATGAACACTGATCCTCATACACTGTACTAAGATGTTAAAGAGAGGAGGAACAACTCCCAACTCATTTTACACAGCCAGTATCATAAGCCAAACTGAATAAAGTCATCACAAGGAAAGACAATGATAGACCATGACAAATGTACAAAATGCTCCACAGTACGCTTATCAACTGGATCCAGCACCACATAACAGGGATGATACACTGTAGTCAAGTTGGGTTTATCCCAGATATGCAGTTGTTTTAACATGTGAAAATCAATTAATGTCATGTATCATATTAATAGAAGGACAAAAACCACGGGATTACCTAAATATATACAGGAAAAGCATTTGGTGAAATCCAACAGCCTTTTTAAAAATAAAAACTATTCAATGAGTTAAGAATAGAAGCATAATTTCTCAAATGGATTAGGGTATATATAAAGAAAAGCTTATAGCCAGCATCATACTGAATGCTAAGATGCATTCAATGATACACTGAAAATGAATGATGAGTAAATTTTCTGGTATGTAAAATATATGTCAATACGATTGGTAGATCAGTTGTTCATCTTGGTCTCGTTGGTGTTATTTCTGATTGGTAGAGAGAAAGAGCAACTACTAGGAACTTATTGCTTGCCTCTCTGGAGAGTAACTGAACTTGGTAGTTTCCATCACCATGGCACTTTCTCTTCCCGTCACCCTTTCCCACCCACCGCCTGTTACCCATAGGTACCATCTTGGCTGTGCGCTGTGTGACCCTGGGAAAAGAGAGCAGAGAAAAGCAGAGGGAGTCATATGTGGGGAACAGGGCTGGGAGACATGTCAGTATGAGAGAAAGGATGCTTTTAGTATTTCCACAATAGTTGCCAACCATTTAAAATTGGGAGAGGCCACATCAAAATCTGGATTTACAGCTCAATTAAAAAAAAAAAAAGGTTCGGGGGGAGCACTAACAATACTTGGCCCCTGTGCTGGGCCAGTGTTTCTCCTGCAGCTGGGCAGCTTCATTCATTTTTATCAGCCACCGAGACCCCACCAGCATCTGCATTTGTGTGTTCCTTTTGTCGTTCCCTGTGCCACAACCTTCTGTTCTGGCCACAGAATGACCCTATGATGTCTCACATAGGACTGCACTTCACACTTGTGGGTTAGTGATGCATGCAGTGACCTTCCCCTCTCTCTCCTACTGTTAGCTCTTCCACGAAGCCTTCTCCTGTTCTGCCATTCATATCTGACTTCACTCTTCAGTCTCTCTTCTGAACCTTGCTCAGATCTGAGTAGGCAAACCCGACAGCTGCCTGTGCCCTAGGTATCTGCATGCTGTTCTAGGGCCTCCACTAGACTCTCATCCTTGTTTCTGTCTTACTGATTGCCACGTTGACTGCTGTACCCCCTAGATACTCTGTACACAGTAGGTGCCTGATATTTTACAGACTGGATGGTCCTGCTGGCCTGGCCTGATGCTGAGGAAGGAAAGTTGCTATCACCATAGGAAAAGATTCAGTACAGAAAATCATGGTACACTAAATCAGAGCAGTGACAAGTGAAGGAATTTAGCAGCAAAGACTATGTGGAAACACTCCTAGCTTGAACTGACCTAAGTGTGTTAAGAGATATTCCAGTTCAGAGATATTTCACGTGGCTCCGCAGTAAACAATCTGCCTGCAATGCAGGAGATGAGGGTTCAATCCCTGGGTCACAAAGAGCCTCTGGAAGAGGAAATGACAACCCATTCTAGTATTCTTGCCTGGGAAATCCCATGGACAGAACAGCCTGGCAGGCTGCAGTCCATGGGGTCACAAAGAGTAGGACACAACTGAGCGACTGAGCATGCAAGATCTCACTCAAACTGCAAGTGTCCTCCTTCCTTCCAACAGCAATGCTCTCCTGACAGTGGCTGGTAAGTGGCATGTTGGCAGCTGGGGTAGTGATAGGTGGTCTGGCCTGTGCAGCCAGTTCTTGCAAGTCTGACAATCACATTTTCTGAAAACCCCATGGGCAAAGCGCTATTTCTCTCTCCCACTAGAACAGGCTAGACTGCAGGGGTGGTGTGCAGAGCACAGAAATCGCTGTTGATTGCCTGTCTCCACATGAGAAACCACCTGGAGAGTAGGAGAAAGCCAAAAACAGAGGTTTGGAGGTGGGGTGGGGGCTGGGAAGAGAAGTCCTAACTTCTGTTTTCCTTTAAACAATTAAGACGAATTTTTTTATTCGTGGTCCTTGCTCTTCAGTCATGAAAATATTTCTTCTCCGGAATGAATGAAATCACGCTCCTAAGGAACTGAGAACAACTCTTGCTAGGTGAGTAACTAACTGGAACTTCCAGAAAGTCTCCACTGAAGAAACCAGGCTCGATTACTTCTGACTATGTGTGTGTGCTAAGTCGTTCATGGACTGTAGCCCACCAGGCTCCTCTGCCCATGGAATTTCCCAGGCAGGAATGCTGGAGTGGGTTGCCATTTCCTCCCCCAAGGAATTTTCCCAACCCAGGGATCCAACCCTCCTGTCCTGCAGCTCCTGCATTGCAGGGGAATTATTCACCACTGGGTGGCGGTAGGGGTTAAAGAACCGCTTGCCGACGCAGGACTGGACTGAAGCGACTTAGCAGGCACGCAGGAGCCACTGGGGAAGCCATTCCTGATTATGGAAGACGCAATGACCCCGCATTCACAGATGTACAAGGCAGAGGACCACAGCACAAGGAGCGTGAACACGTGGTGACTTGCCCCCTCCCCCTCCTGAAAGTGAAAGTGTGAGTCTCTCAGTAGTGTCAGATTCTTTGCGACCTCATGGAAGCCACCAGTCTCCTCTGTCCATGAAGTTCTGGGGTTGCCATTCCCTTCTCCAGGGCATCTTCCACGACCCAAGGATCGAACCAGGGTCTGTCGCACTGCAGGCAGATTCTTTACCATCTGAGCCACCAGGGAAGCCCCTCCCCTTCCTGGGGATCTCGTTAATATGCAGATCTAAAGATCCACCAAAGGATGGTGACGGCCCTAGAGCCAGTCACTGTGTGCAGGAAAATGTCAGTGTGTAATGTTGGGCATGGGATGGGATGGGACTAGCACATGACCTTCCCTGAAGTGCCAGAGAGTGGGGTGGTCTTTTAGGGATGCCCTGGGGAACATAGGGGAGACCCTCACACGTCTCCCCAGTCTCTCTCCTCAAGGAGACCCCGGGTCCACTCTGGAGGTGCCCCGCAGTGCCTGACAGTTCTCCCTCAGCCTTAAGATTCTTTGATTCCCACCGGCCAAGGGCAGAGCCTCCCAGCTGCACCACGGTGAAGGAGTCATGGGCTGGGGGTCCAGGGGACCTGGTGTCCCCACCAGACGGGGCAAGCCCTTGGCCCCATGCGCAGAGTTGCCCCAGGGATGCTGGCCCACAGAAGTGTCCTCCCTTCAGGACGTCTCTTCATGCAGGTGGCAGCCCGCACTGCTCTCGTCACTGTCCCTCCTTCAGGAGCCCGCGGCGCCCCCTCGGCGAGACCATGCAGGCCCTGGTTGCTCCGGTGACCAAGGCCATCTTCGTGGCTCTGTTCCTCTTCGCTATCCTGCTCATCCTCTGCATGATCCTGTGGTCCATTTCCCGGGACCTGGACAATGGCTCCATCTGAAGCAGGGAAAGCACTGCCTCAGCCCTCTGAGGCCCCAGCCCAGCGACCCCGAGTTTGCCCCAGAATCCGCATCTCTTCCCAGGACCCTGTGCTCTTCCTATGGATTCTGTGTTGCTCCCCGGGACCCAAAGCCCTCTCCCAGTCCCGCATCTCTCCCCATCCCTCCCAGTACTCTGGGTGCTCCCATCTTGACCCTGCACTTCTTCCAGAGACCACCTGCCCTTCCCTTGGACTCTGAATTCCTTCCCTGGACTGGGCGCCCCTCCCTAGATTCCGTGCCTGCGACCCAATCCCAAGCCCCACCTCTCACCCCATGCGCTCCTCCCCAGGACCCTAGTGCCCTCTCTTACCCTGTTGCCCTTCCCACCCCCACCCCCAACCAGGGTCCTCTTGGAAATCCCCAGGTCTTCCTGTTCTTCCCAAGACCCTGTGGCTCCATCCTGATCTGTGATCCTGAGCCCTCTCCCTGGACCCCCCTCTTCCTTGGAGCACTCTCCCCTCCCCCAAGCCTTGAGGCCCTCTCCCCATCTCTGAAATCTGCTTATTGCCCCTACTCCCCACCACAGCCCTGTATCCTCTTCTGACCCCATACTCTGCAGCTTTCTCCAGATATTGGAGAAACCCAGTGTCTTTCTTCAGAAACCCATAGCGCACTGGCCAGCACTCCTCGTACCTCCCCAGGCCCAGAGCTCCCCTCTCTCATGACCTCCCCAGGACGCCTGGGCCTTCTCCCAAGCGTGCCCTTCCCGGGGTCCTTCACCCTTCTCCAGATTCTGCCCCCACTGACCCCTGTGCCCACCCCCAGTACCTGCTCCCCTTTTCCAGCTCCTGCCAGGTGCACGGGCTCACTTCACTGCCCCCTCCCACTCTGCTGTTGGGTTTTGTGTCTGAGCAGCAGGTGACTGAAGGCCAGTGGGGGGACTTCTGGTGCCCAGGGGCCTCCTGTCTGCACCCTGTAGGCTTTCCACACTGCCCTTGCTTGTTCCTGGCATGGATGTGCTTTCCTCTCTCCCACAAGTAGAACTCCGGGGTTGCTTGAGCCTATACACCAGCAAGCAAATCGTGATTTGACACATCATTCCTGTGTCCTGAGTTGCCTCAAATGAGTTTCAGTCCCACAAAGAGCTTCCTGGCACTGCTGCTGACCATGACCCTGCAGATTAAAGGGTGCACCAGGGATGAATTCTTTGGTGGACATGGAGTAATACAGGCTGGTCCATGCTACTTGGATCAACCACTTCTAGTTTTGCTCTTCCGAAGGGGTGGGTCCATCTGTAAGCAGGTGGTTAGCCGGAACTTGACCACGTGGACACTGGGGCATCATCCACTGAGGCTGCTCTGGGAGAAGCAGGTGGGAATGTGGGCAGGGAGTGCAAGGCTGTTGACTTTGGTGGTCTTGGCATCACTCAGACATGAAAGTGGACCCAAAGACACGGTTAAGCAGACTTGAAGTGAGTTCACCCTAGATTCTCCCTGCAGAGGCCAAGGGTGTCCAGCAGGAAGGAGTACTGCATCTCCAATGGGCAATCTGGACAGACATGTGTAGGACAGTGCAGTTACATGGTGTTAGAGCTGGATTCCCAATCCAGACCATCTGATTACCAGCTGTACCACTGTGCACATTACATCTCCAAGCGTCTATTATTTTATCTGTAAATGGGAATTAATGACGGTGTCAGGCTTATTGAGGGGATTATGTGAAATACTGTATTTAAGCTGATTAACAGTCTTACATGCAGAAAATCTGCAGTTATCAGTGGTAGTTACTTGTGGACAGCCAAACATCCTCTAATGATAACCTACTGTTTTACTTATTTTGGAGGCATAAGTTACATGGAGTAAAATTCACTATTTTCTGTGTACACTGCTAAGTTTTGACAAACACATTAAGCTGTGTAACTTCCACTACAAGCAAGATATGAGTACCTTCTATTGATAATCTAATAATTAAAATAGTTGAGTTTCCATGTCTTTAAGTCCAAGAAAAACAGCATCTAAAGCTTGTTTTGAAGAAACAAGGAAAATATTCATTTATATTTATGCTCAATATAAATGTTCATTACTTGTTTAATATTTTAGTGGTTTGAGATGTGCATGGTACTGGTTTACTACCCCACCAATGTGCATCATTACTTTTTTCACCAAAATTCATGATACTTTAAGTTACAAAGAGATTTTTTTTATATTACCTGAGTAATAAATATAATTTCTTGCAAAAAAAAACAAAAAACAAAAAATCATACAGCCCACAAGTGAAAGGAGCAATCATTCCATACAGACCGCCCCCATCCTCCTCCCCAGAGGAGGTAACCCTGTTAACCACGCAGTTATTATGTTTCCTGCCTTTCTTTGCTCCCCGCCTTCTCTGTCTCTCACTCAAACACACACAGTGGTATTTGTCTATATTCTTCAAATTAAATGGGATCTACTTTAGATTTCAGAGGGCCAGGAAGGAATTCACAAGCAGAAAAAAGTCTCCCAAGAAAGTGCCAGGGCCCTGCTCCCGTCTTCTCCTCCTGCCCTCAGACACTGCTGGGGAAGGGACGCTGGTGAACCAGGTCTGTGAGCAGATTGCTTTGAACTTCTTTTGTGAAATCCTCTTAAGAAAGGTGCTACATGAACTGCAAAGACTATTTTTAAGACTCAGGAGGGAAGCACTGGGCATTTGCATAGAGGGCAGAGGAGGTGCAAGGTCCATATTTCTGGGTGGCCTACTTCTTTTTTTTTTATTAGTTGGAGGCTAATTACTTTACAATATTGTAGTGGTTTTTGTCATACATTGACATGAATCAGCCATGGATTTACACGTATTCCCCATCCCAATCCCCCCTCCCACCTCCCCCTCCTACTTCTTGACTGCCCACTTCCCCAGGGAGTGGCAGCCAGCTCCGTGCCTGTTGTTCTGTACCTTAGGCAGCAGGGTGGAGCCCCAGAGTCGCTGTCCAACACTGCTGATGTGGGCTGCTTTTGAACTGGAGACTTCCTCCCCTTACCTACAGAAAGCCCAGAGCCTATCTCAGTGTTCCTGTCAGTGCTACAGGTAGTTCCTCCCTCATCAGCAGTGTGGAGGACCGATTTGAGGTCCTGGGAGTAGAGAGCAGTTAGAAGACCAGAAAGAATGAGGGCCTGAATTCAGCCCGTGGCCATGGGAGAAAGCGGGGTCAAGACATCTCTGACTTAGAACTGGTGGAGCTTGGTGGCTGGATGAGTGTGGAGCCTCAGGTACTGGTGTGGGTGGGAAAAGGACAGGAGACACGAAGCCGATCCAGTTCTGGCCGGGTAAGAGGCCAGTGACGTCATTCACATGTCAGTGGCTCTGGGGAACAGAGGTTCCCTAGGCCTGTGCTCCTGGCTCCTGATAACATTGCCTCTTTGATTTTCCTTCCTCTCATCCTACTGCCCAATGTGTCTAACCAAGGGCCTGGCTCAGAGAAAGAGCTCAGAGAGCAGTAGCCTAGTTATATCTCTCGAGGCTTCACTTGTAGCTTCGGTTTCTGCAGAGGCCACTGGCTTTGGTCTCACTTGGCGAAGTTATTTGTGCCCACAGATGGGGTCTATGGAAAGCCTGTGGCATATTGACCAGAATATGTGCGAAAGTCAGCTTATACACACAAACAGGTCCCTGCCTGACTGTGCAAACCAGAGCCTCCCCAGCTCCTAACTCAGCTTAAAGAACAGCCTCTGAACCAATTACAACCGTGTGTTCAACCATGTGTTCAGACCAAGATAGAAGTCTCTATTTAAAGTAGGTAGTTTTGAAAATGTAAAACTAATTAGAAATCAATGTTTGTAAACTCTGCATCCCCCAGTGCAGACTAGTGAGACAGTGGTTATCCAAGCCCATGCAAAAATTCTTCTCCTGGGAAGTTAAGGAAGAAAGGTAAATATAACTGCTTTAAGAGCTTAAATCACCTAAAAAAGAGGGGACCTTTAACATGTAAAAGTGGGTTTGAGTTACCCAGATTTCTAAAAGGGGCTTGTGGCATCCCTGTTTATATGAAACAGCCCTCAGGTGGGGCCAGGTAAATTGTAAAAGGATGAAGAAATAAAGAGGGCTGTGCAGGGAAACAAGGAGAGCAGACAATAGGGAGAGCTGATTCACAGAAGATGAGCTGGGAAAACAGCCCACCATGATAGCCTAGGGAACAAAGCTGGGGGAGGAAGAGAGAAAAACAGGCACTGTGGAGCCAAAGGAAACCAAACCGATGATGAAGATGGATAACTCATCCTAAGGGAAGTGAGTAAGGAGATGAGTCCTCAAAATACCAGGAGAAGGCTCCGAGAGACTTCCTGGGGCCAAACCAGAGATGGAGATACTAGCAAGAGAAAGGCTCTTTCCCCAGGGAGGGGGATAGGGAGGACCCCTACTCAAGGAGGTGGAAACAAAGCAGATCAGCAAGAACCATCCTCACCCCAGGATCCAAGACTGGAAAAGAAGCCTATGATGGGGGGCCCCCGTCCTCCACGCCAGACTCCTCCTTGTTCCCCGGACAGGATATGGCCTCTCTGAGGATCACCTGCACTAGGAACCCCCTTATTCTCTTAGGCCAATTTCCACTAAGAGTTGACGCTCACACATCACCACGTCAAGGCAGCCTTCATCTAGGAAGACACTGTGGCTTTCCTGGCAGACTCGGATCCTCTCCACTGTGGCTTGTCTTCTCAGGGTGTCTAGCCACCACACCCTCAGGATAAATAACCAGAAAGGAGGGAAAATTCAGCAGAAACAAAGAGCTCATGTGCCTGAAATCTGTGCCACTGTAACATAACGTGATTCACCATGGTTTGCCTCAGTTGTATAAGGTCACACCCCAATTCCCTCACAAAGTCATGTTTTCTGACACAGAGGGATATGAAAACACAGAAAGGGAGGAAAAAATTCCAGAATTCATTTATCCTCCTCAAGAACTTTTCTGCTCCCTAAAGAATTGTAATAACGGAAAATTTGAGATCAAGGACCTGTTTTATCCTTAAAACATTTAAGACAAAGTAATAA